TTCCCTGAGGTAAGGCATCCTTCTTCCCTGAGGTAAGGCATCCTTCTAAAGGCAGAATTCCTCCGCTTTGACCCCCTTCTTTTAAGGGGTTCAAAAGAGCCATTTCTTTTTAAAATGGCGGAAGGAGCTTCTATCTTGTCTCCAGAGGAAGCTGTGAAGGGGGTCTAGGAAGTGGTGGGAGACAGGAGTTAATGGAGGGATTCCTTCCTCCCTCCCTCCACCCCTTTTTCCTTCTTTCCTTCCTCTGCCTTCTTTCCTCCTCCACCCCACCCTTCTCCCCCTCCTTCCTTCCTTTCTTCCTCTTTACCTTCCCTCTCTACCTTCCTTCCTTTCTCCCTCCCCCCTCCTTCCTTCCTTCCACCTTCCTTCCATTTCTTCCTCCCTCCCTCCCCATCCCTTCCTTCTCTTCCTTCCCTCTTCCTTCCTTCCATTCCTTCCTTTCTCCCCATCCCTTCCTTCTCTTTTCCTTCCTTCTCTTCCGTCTCTACCTTCCTTCCATTTCTTCCTCCCTCTCTACCTTCCATTTCTTCCTTCCTTTCTCCCCATCCCTTCCTTCTCTTCCTTCCTTCCATTTCTTTCCTTCCACCCTCCCCTCCTCCTTCCCTGTCCTTCCTTCCTTCCTTCCTTCCTTCCTTCCTTCCTTCCTTCCTTCCTTCCTTCCTTCCTTCCTTCCTTCCTTCCTTCCTTCCTTCCTCTCTTCCACTCTCCCTCCCTTTTTCTTTCTTTCCTTCTTCCTTTCTCTTTCCCCCTCCTCCCCCCCAGCTTTTGTCCCAAGGCCCAACCCACCTGGGGCCTGAGGCCAAACGTCCCCTCTGACTTTTTCCTGGCAGGTTGGTCGTAGCCAAACTGGAACAGGTCGAAGAGCTGGATTTCGACCAGCTGGTGCCCCTCACCACACCGCGAGTTGTGGCCAGCCGTGTTTTCAGCATGTGTCTAGGTGCGTGTTCCTTATGACCCCATCGTTGCTAGTTTCCTCTCATTTGTGCATTGCTGATGCCCTGTTCTCGATTCCCCCATTTTGTGAGTTATAGGAAAACAAATTTCTGGCCTATTTGAGTTTCCTGGGTCCTTATTGCCACCTTGCAAAACACAGATCAAGCCTTTTGATGTGAACTGCATGTAAATAGTCATAAATTGTGTTCATGTTCCCCCGCTGGGGACACTGCAAACAGCCATAAATACAGTCTGAATTATCAATCTGAAATTCAGGTTGGCTGAACGTCCAAAATGAGATATTATAGAATATCAGAGTTGGAAGGGACCTTGCAGGTCATCTAGTCCAACCCTATCAGCCTCTACCTAGGATTGAACTCACGCAGCCTCGATTGTGAGGCAACAGCTCCACCTCTTAGGCCACCAGAGCTGCTTTATCACACAACAGGCGTTTGAGCTTCAAATCCAGGTCCTAAGTCGCCCTGCGGGGAGGTCTGTTGTAAGTTCGGACAGCCGGTCGTTAAGCCGAGGACTGTGTTCTCTACCTCAGTGTCTTTCTTCTCCCCAGTTCTGGCTACAGGTAGGATCCTGTGCTTGGAACAAAAGGAGGCTTACGGTCAGATATGGATTAAGCCAGGAGAGCGTTTTCCCCGCAGCTAGAAGATTCAGCTCTGTGATTCTGACCATGGTCGCTTTCCAGCAAAACAGTTGCACCCCTTGGCGAAGATTCAAGCTGGCTGGAGAGGCCCTATTTTGTATTTCACGGGAAATTTTTGGATTAAAGTAATATATTGGCAAATTATGGTTGGTTCCCTTTCCCTTTTATTTTGTAAATAGATCTGCTGAGCATTAAACTGCAACCGGAGACTGGTCATGGTTGAATTTGCAAGATAGATTGTTTTAAATATAAATGTACAGTATATGTATAAATGAGATTGACGAAATAACTTTTAAGGTGCTGACCTAGAAACCAGGAGATGGCGAGTTCTAGACCCATCTGAAGCACAAAAGACAGCTGGGTGACTTGGGGCCAATCACCAGGAGACGGAGAGTTCTAGTCCTGTCTTAGATATGAAAGCCAGCTGGGTGACTTTGGGCCCATCACCAGGAGACGGAGAGTTCTAGTCCTGTCTTAGATACGAAAGCCAGCTGGGTGACTTGGGGCCAATCACCAGGAGACGGAGAGTTCTAGTCCTGTTTTAGATATGAAAGCCAGCTGGGTGACTTGGGGCCAATCACCAGGAGACGGAGAGTTCTAATCGCACCTGAAGGATGAAAGCAGCGTGAGTGACTGGAGATCCGTCTATGTCTCTCAGCCCAACACACCTCACAGGGTTGTTGCTGTGGGGAAAACAGGAAGAGGAAACAGGCTTGCGAGCCACCTTGCATTAAATATAAATTGATGAACAAAAGCGAGATAGAAACCAAATAAAAAACGCACAACAAAGCCTGAGCTTTTGTTAGTTTTTATGACAGCCATTAAATAAGCTGAGAATTGATTGTCTGTTGTATATTTTTCTCTCACGCTCTCCATTTCTCTGACATCTGCAATATGGCTGCCTTCCCGCTCATTTTTTAATCTGCAAAGAGTGCTGGGGGGTGGGAAACAGTGGGGGGGGAATTATTTAGGCTAGGCATCTTAACAAACCCCTTACTAACTTCACGGGGACCCGCCTTCATTTTATTACAAGGTACTGCATACAGTATACTTTTAATCTTCTGTTCCAAAAAATATAAGCCAAACCAGAAAGTTTAACATCTTTAAATACAAACGACCGAGGAAGAGCTGGGTTGTTGTTGTTTTTTCGAGAACCGTTGCTTTGTGGCAGAAATCGATCTTGGGGTGGGTGGTGGGTGGGGGGGAAACAAGTTAGAAAAACCAGCAAAAAGAACAACCACCCCTCTCGTTCAAGAACCGATGAACTTTGTGCACACAAATTTGGCCCCTTGCGAAACAACCACACAAGGGCAGGGCGGTCAAAGGCCCAGGAAAGCTTCCCTGGAGGAATGCCAAAGGCCAAAAACCACAAAATTCCCAGCCTTTTTTGGGTGGGGGTGGGGCGGTGACAGGCAGCAGCATTGTGTGTCCTGTATCAAGAAACTGTAGAGTTGTGTTCTTCTAACAAGGGCGCGAATGCCGGCTAACGTTGGCGCAGAAGTAGGAGATCCTACCAGGATCCTAACCGCATCACATTTTGGCTTCGGTGATTGCAAATTGCGTTGCTGTTGTGTTGACTTTTTTGTTGTTGTTTGTTGAGAAAGAAAGACGGGAGGAGGAAAGAGCTTAACAGTGAAAAAAATAGCCAAACGATATTGAAACCGAAGCAATACCAACTCAGCCACCCCCGGGTTGCCATTTGGCACGCCGGATTTTGCTTTTGGGATGGGCAGAGGTGCCGAAAGTGGGATCCAAACCGGAGATGAAGATCGATTCCAGTCTGCCAACAACCCCCCCCCCGTCCCCCCGCCAAAAAAACCTACAATGGCCCGGCCTCAAAAAGTCCTCGAAAGTTTGAAAAGAGCACCCCCTCCTGGCTGCTTTTAAGCGGAGCCGATGGCCGCGCGGATTGAAGTGCCAACTTCCGGACGGTTTGCCAGGATGGCTGTCTGAAACTCGGCGGGGTAGCGGGCTGAGAGGCTGGCCAGCAACGTGATCAGGAGGTTCCTGGCTTCTGCAGAGAGCGAAAAGAAAGGAAGTTAGGAAAGAAATAATGAAGGATTATAAACTGAACAAGCAAATAACGGAAGGTTTCAATCTCTCTCTATAAAAGCGAAATACCGCTCACGCAACATCACAAAATCTCCAGAACTGTAAAGCCTAAAAAACTTGAAATTGGGCCCGTATGTTCCTCTTGGCTTCTAGGGGCTCACTAAGAAAGGATTTTATCAAATGACCATCAGAGCATTTAAGAGTATTTCCTATATTATTATTACTATTATTAACACGCTCTGATGTTAAGGAGTTCTATTCCCCCTCCCCACCTGCAAAGAAATCTGTTCCAAATGCAAAACACAAACAGAAGAGTTTCAGTTTCACAGCCCCATCGGTTGAGCTAATCCACGCCCAGGCTCCTTGCTGTCTCCTTACTCACACAGCGAATGCTCTTTCAGTTTCCAAAGAGCCCTCAATTCCCTCACACACTGACAGGACACTAGCCAGATGAATAACGATGGATGCTGGTAGGCAGATATTATAATTTAATAAAAATACGTGTATTATTACTAGAATTATATAAGCTTGTTAAATGAAACAAACATGATTAATACTATTTAATTTGCCTCAAAATATATGACACTCAGGTGCCACGCTGTTCACGCACTGATATATGTGTAAAACTTGAGGGGGCAGGAGGGAAGGAAAGCTGGCAAGGTTGCGGTGCTCAGCTGGCACAGAGGTCTTCCTCGTCTTGGCCCTTAAGTAGAGGGCGAGGCAGACTTTAAAAAGCCCGATTACAGGAACTCCTTGACTTACAACCACAATGGAACCCCAAAATTCTCTTCCTAAGCGAGACCTCTGTAAAGCAAATTTTATTCCCCTCCCCGTTTTACGACTTTCCTTGCCGCCATTGTCAAACTGAATCCCTGCAGTTGTTAAGTTGGGGACAAGCGGTTTTTAAGTGAATCTGGCTTCCCCTTTAACTCGGCTTGTCTGAAGGTCGCAAAAGGGGATCACGACCGTCGTAACTACAGATCAGTTGCCGGATTCAAGAATCAAGAGTGTTTGAATTTTGGATCACGTAACTGCGGGGATGGTGCTACGGTTGTTAAGTGTGAAAACTGGCCCTAAGTCGCTTTTTTCCCCCAGGCGCCATCGTAAATTCAGTCACTAAGCGGACTGCCGTAGGTGGAGGACTCCCGGTATATTTGTCTCCCTGCTAGTAAATAAAAAGAGATTTACTCGCCCTTCAGAGGTTGTCAGGAGGAGAGCTTGGGTTTGTCTATATATGGAGGGTTTCGCAACGTGGCCCCTTTAAGATGGTGGACTTCCACTCCCAGAATTCCCCAGCCAGCCCTAACAGCCACGGTGATTCACTTAACAACCGTGGCACCAAAAAGGTCATAAAACGGAGCAAAAATTCACTTAATAACTGTCTTGCTTAGCAACAAAAATTAGGGGCTCAATTACCGTCAAAGGTCAAGGAGTACTTCTAACTTATTCAGTTCTGCTGTGGCCTGTCAGCGGCCAGCAGAGCTGGCAACAGACTCAGACAGTGAGGAGGTTGGGGAGGAACCTGGGCCAGTCCTGGAGTCTGGGGGAGGCTCTGACGAGGGCTCTGCGTCGGAGGCAGAGATGGGGCCAGGGCCTTCCGACATTTCCCTGCTGCCTATGGAGTCAGAGATCAGTGGGGAAGAAGAACAGCTGGAGCCTGTTCCCAGTGTGCTCATGCACAGAGCTGCCAGGAGAAGGGAACAGTTAAGGAACAAGGGTCGACTCATGAGTAAGGGCACAGGTGGACGGTGAATGGCCCCTCCCAGAGGGAATAAAGAGGAGGTGAAAGGGGAGTGGTGTTTGCAGGAGACAATTAGTTCAATTCATTAGGGTGGAGATCTATTCCTGACTCCTTGTCAAGCCATTGCTGCTACAGTGTGGCGTTTGGAATATATCGGCCTGGCAACTCTCCCGGCCTGTTAAAGGTCTGTGGCTGTGAAATCTCACGAAAGACTGTGTTTGCCGGGAATTTGCTGGAGAGGGAATTAATTCCCTTTAACCTAAATAAAAGGGGCTTTGTTGTGGCGAGGGGTCTACCGCATGATCTTGGGAAGCCTGGGTCAGAACAGGTGCTGATGGGGGCCCCCCCATCCTGCTGGATTCACCGTAGCTGCCCCGTTCACCGATCCAGACAGATCAGATGGCCGTGGGGAGTGGGGGGTATCACAGGGAAACTCTGCCCACCCTGGAAGTCACATCACGTACCTGTCGATAGATTCTTGCAACCCAGGACGGATCCGCTGCTTCTCACGATCTCCGGAATCTTTTGCAATACCTTTGCAGGGAGAAGTGGGTGGGAAAAAAGAACCACCAGAAAACTGCATCACAGGGAACCCTCGACTTTCAACCCCAAGAAGTCCTCACGTTACGATCACAGTTGAGCCCAGGATTTATGTGGCGAAGCGAAACACTTGCTCAGGGAGTTTTGTCCCTTTTCACAGCTTTTCTTGCCAGAGTTGTTAGAAGGGAATCGCGGCAGCCGTCAGGCGATTGTTAAGCGAATCCAGCTGCCTCGTTGACTTTGCCCATCAGGAGGTCACAAAAGGGGGACCATGTGACCCTGGGATGCTGCGGCCATCATAAATACGAGTTGGTTGCCTAGCGTCTGAAGTTTGATTGTGTGACCACAACCATTGTTAAGTGTGAAAAACGTTTCTAAGTCGCTTTTTTTCAAGGCCGTTGTTAACTTTGAATGGACACTAAATGAACAGTTGTAAGTCAAGGTGTGCCTGTATTTGTTTAGTGGCCGTTCAAAGTTACAACGGCCCTGAAGAAAGTGACTTAACGGCTGTTTTTCACACTTACGACTAATACCACTCTGTAAGGCCTTAGTAAGGCCACACCTAGAGGACTGCATCCAGTTTTGGTCACCACATTGTAAAAAAGGATGTTGAAACTCTGGAAAAAGGGCAGAGAAGAGCAACCAGGATGGTGAGGGAACTGGAAGCTAAAACATACAACTAACGGTTGCAGGAACTGGGCCTCGCTAATCTAGGGAAAAGAAGGACCGGGGGAGACATGACAGCAGTCTTCTAATATTTGAGGGGCTGCCACAGGGAGGAAGAAGGGGTCAAGCTATTTTCCAAGGCACCTGAAGGCCAGGCAAGGAATAATGGATGGAAACTGATCCAGGAGATTCAACCTGGAAATAAGCAGGAATTTTCTGACTGTGAGAACCATCAACTGAAGGAACAGAAGTTGCCTTCGGAAGTTGTTGGAGCTTCATCCTTGGAAGCTTTCAAGAGGAGGCTGGACTGCCCTCTGTCAGAAATGGTGTAGGGTCTCCTGCTTGGGCAGGGGGTTGGACTAGATGACCTACAAGGTCCCTTCTAACTCTGATTATCTGTTATGGGTGTATTACTGCCAGTGGAAGCTGGAGCAGAAGGGCAGCCTACCTTTCTTCTTTGTAAACATGGAAAAATCTCTCCAACTTTCCAAAACATGGAAAAATAAAGGATCCAATTCCAGGAATGGCAGGGGAATGGCCTACAACTTCAGCTTTGGGGTTTTATACAGGAATCCACCCCACGTACAGGTAGTCCTCGACTTACGACCACTATTCGGTTCCAAATATGTGTGTGTGTGTACACACACACACACACACACACACACACACACCTTAAGTGAATTTTGTCTCATTTTACGATCTTTCTTGCCACAGTTGTTTAGCAAATAGCTGGAGTCATGGAGTTAGGAACACGACCGTTAAGTGAATCCGGCTTCCCCCTTGACTTTGCTTGTTAGAAGGTCGCCAAAGGGGATCATTTGACCCCGGGGCACCGCGACCATCGTAAGTATGAAACGGTTGCCAAGCGCCTCAATTTTGATCAGGTAACCATGGGGCCACTGCTGCGGTTGTTAAGTATAAAAAAATGGCCCTAAGTCACTTTTTTTCAGTACCATTTTTGAACCGCCATTAAATGAACTGTGGTCTACAGATAGTCCTCAACTTAAAGCCGTTCCTTTAGTGACCATTAAAAAGTTACAACGGCCCTGAACAAAGCGACTTACAACCGTTTGTCCTCCTGAGGCTCATGGAGTCAAAATTTGGACCCCTCGGCAACTGGTATGTATTTATGACAGTCACAGTGTGTCCCCGGGGCCGTGATCTGTCTTTTGCGACCTTCCGATGGCCAGAACCAACGGGGGAAGCCAGATTTGTTAAACAACTGCACGGTTCGCTTAACGATGGCAGCGACGTGCTTCACTATGGCAAGAGGCGGTCATAAGGGGTGCAACTCGTTTCAGGATGGCCTCGCTTAGCCACAGAAATGTGGGGCTCAACTGTCGTAAGTTGAGGCTTCCTTCTCAAAGCAGGGCTGAGACGACGAGCTAAGGGGAAACCAACTTGAGCGGGAGCCAATCGCCTAAATTAGGGCAGGGGTGGGATTCAGCCGATTTGGCCCGGTTTGGGTGAACTGGATATTAAATTTACATCAGGTTCACCGAACCAGGAGTTGAACCGACTGGCTGGCCCCGCCTACCCCTCCTCTCCCGGAGTCTCCACGCGGCCCGTTTTGGATGCAGGTCTCCGCGCGGCCCGTTTGGATGCGTGGAGGCTCTGGGAGGGGGGAAAAGGGCTCTCCAGGAAGTTCCGGAAGTCCCAAAACGGGCCTGATTCCGGCTTCCGGAGGCTCTCCCAGAGACCTGAGGAAAGCCTCCGGACTCTGGGAAAGGCAAAAAATGGCCGAACTGGAAATTCCGGTAGGCCACACCCACCATGGCCAGGCCTACCCAGCAACCAGACAGAGAACCGGTAGTTGGGATTTTTGAATCCTACCCCTAAATCAGGGATGTCAAACTTGGTTTCGTTGCGGGCCACATCAGGTTTGCGTTTGACTTCGGAGAGCCGGGGTGTATGTGGGTGTATTTCTGGCATGGCCACGGTGGGCCTTTGACGTAGGCTCAAGATGCGTTTCTTTCCCTTCTTTCTTTCCGCAGGTGTTCACCATAAACCTTCCCCCAAATCTTCTACCAGATGTTATAGGCAAACATTTATTACTTATTCTTCTTACTCCGCTAAACTTTTTATTTCTAAATTTATCACCCCATTGTTTAATAGTACGTTGCTCTTCCGGGCAGAAAAGCTATTTACATCTATTGTATTTTTTATTATTCAACTAATAAGTAAAAACACAACGGCATAAAATAACACGAGATCTAACAGCTGAGGTAAATTTCCAGGATAGTATGGTGGAACATGGGGTCACGGCCGTAATCCGTTCCAGGACTAAGGTTGCAACCCAATTTGGTTGTGACCGAAAGCACGGCCATCTGTGCATGTACGGACCCCCCCGCCCCAAAAATGGCGCCGAAGGGGAAATCACCACAGCAATTTTCGGGTTTGCTTGGTTGCCACCCAAAGATCTGTTCGTGACCAGAAGCAAAACAGAAGCAAAAATTCTGGTCGTCACAGAAGTGTTTGTGACGCCAGGTTCCATTGTATATAGCCGTGATGGCGAACCTATGGTGCGCGTACCACAAGCGGCACGCAGAGCCATTTGTGCTGGCATGCAAGCCGCAGGCAAACTTACCTCACTGTGCATGCACGCGCCTCACAGCTTATTTTTTTTCTGGTTGGTTTGAGGCCTTTTTTTGGCCTCCCAGAGGCTTGGAAACAGCCTCTGCAAGGCTTTTCAGGATGAATTATAGGCCTGTTTTGTCACTTCCTAATAATACCGGAAGTGATGAAACAGGCCTATAATTTGTTCTGAATAGACTTGCATGGGCTTTTTTCAAGCCTTTGGAAGGCCGAAAAAGGCCTTAAACCAGCCAAAAAATCAGCTGCGAGGCGCATTGCAGGAAAGAGGGTGGCAGGGAGGTGGGGATTGCACGCGCATGCGCAGAGGGCATGCACATTGTATTCTGGGTTCTGGCACATGACAATTTTTAGCACAGGAGCCCAAAAAGGTTAGCCACCACTGGTATATAGAAATGGCTGTCAATTATAGATACAGAATAGAATGTATAGAATACAGAATAGTTGACTGTAGATTAAAAGGATCTAAAATACATAAAATCTGGCATTAAACTGTAGTGTTTACACAAGGGGTTGCTTGTTTCCTATCTAGATCAGGTACTTACTTGAGGCCACATAATTGTAATCCAGTCCAATCCAGGTCTCCTGCAGCACACTGCTGGCCGAAAACGGGCCATGTGGAGGCCTTCTGTGGCCCTTCCGTGGCCTGTTTTGGCTGGCAGAGGTATTGCAAGCCAGTCCTTTGATATTTCCATTCACACAGGCCAGATTTAAGTACCCTGCAGGCCGGATCCAGCCCGAAGGCCTGTGGGCCGGCAACCGCCGTGGCATGTAAAAAACCTGGCCCGTGTAAACAAGCGAATCCCCATCCACACGAAACCACGTTCCCTCCTCCGCTCCGTGGAAAAAACCTCCCTCCATGGAACCGGTCCCTGGTGCCCCAAAAGTTGAAGGTTGCTGCCCCTAAGACCTGCCCCTTCCTGGTGGGACAGAGACCTACCTGCGATGGGTCATTTTCATAGATAAAGGTGATGCAACGGTAGATGGTTTTATACTCCTCAAAGTCCTCTCTCAGTGGCAGGGCGCGAAGCAGGACAGGGAAAACCTGTCAATAAGAGGGTCAGAAGACGGAAGGCAGCAATTCAAGGGTCAGAGGTTCATGATCCTATAGGGATCCTAACATGGCTTGGCTCCTTACCAAGCCAGAAACAAGTAAACCTACATTTCCTCATGGAGTAAACCAGGGTTTCTCCAAACTTGGCAACTTTTAAGACTTGTGGACTTCAACTCCCAGAATTCCCCAGATGGCATGTTTGGTATTTCTTGGTTTAAATAGAGTTAGTATTGCTTAGTGCTTAAGGTGCCGGTCTAGAAAGCAGGAGATGGTGAGTTGTAGTTCTAGGCATGAAAACCAGATGGATGACTGGGCCAATTAGCAGGAGACTGTGAATGCTAGTTTCACCTTAGGCATGGAAGCCATCCGAGTGTCTTTTGACCAGTCATTAAGAGTCTGGGAGCTCTAGTTCCACCTTAGGCATGGAAGGCGGCTGGGTGTCTTTGGGCCAATCATGAGGCGCCTATGAGCTCTAGTTCCACCTTAGGCATGAAAGCTGCCTAGGTGTCCTTGGGCCAACGATCAGAAGCCTGGGAATTCTAGTTCACCT